TTCACCAGTGTATTCTATTGACGTCAGGAGAAATTGAAATAAACAAATTAATTATAATTTCAGCCTCTAGTTGAGCACTCGTCTTTATGTCAACTTGCAGTTATTCGTTGCCTACATCAGTGACTTCAAAATATATGTTTCAATCCCATGAATTTCACTCGCTGTTAATTGCATGGGAGTGCCAGTCTTTAATGAATTTCTATTGTCATGTCAATTTCTTGCGATTACTCGAACATTAAGCTGTAACCACATACCGCCTAGGTGCTGTAACTAAATCCTGGTGTAAGCACCGGTTAGGCAGGCTTGAACTATGCATGTGAAGCCAGCTGTGGGGTATATTCAATCCTATAGATTTCTCATTGTTTGGTAACTATTTGCTGCAAATGCAACAAAAATCAATATAAAAAAATATTACCCACACAGCATTCTACAGGTTACTTGTTATACCATAGATCTCTTTCTGGGGTCTATGATTATACTAGTCTATTGTTTTACCCAAAATGCAATGCAACAAACAAAGATGGCGACCTCCGAAGCGGTGATCACGCGAATGGATGTGAAAGATGTACGTTTCCCAACATCCCTAGAAGCTCATGGCTCAGACGCAATGGTAAATACTCCGTTGAAATTGGGTTGCGTTTTTATATAGCAGAGTACCTTCAACTTGCCAAGGTCAATTAAGTTACAATGCACTCTATTGCCGCGGGACCTGCCAGTGTACGTAGCCCTGCGCACTGTACGCAGGGTTAGCCTGTACGTTGAATATAGGGGGCGTGTCAACGATGGACCATGCTACAAAGTTGCTATACAATACAGTAATTTAAATGTAGCAGCTAAATTGAGTTCGTCTTCGTTTTAAGGGACGACGTCAAAAGATCGATGTCGGATAAAAAACTTATTTCCTTTAGTTTGGGGGTGGGGGGTTTTGACCTCAAAAAGTTTCCATCCTACAAAAACGATTTTTTTTTTTAATGAAGTCAAAAAAATCTTGGAGTAGTTCTATCCAATCATGGACAGAAATAACCGAAAAGGAAAAAAACAGAAAAATGGTTTGGTTCGAGTGTAAATCTGTGCGTCAAATGAGGTGCATTTGTAAACTCTTTTTACACCCACCCGACAACCAACTGCTATGCAATACTACTGTCCGATTATCAATTTGTATTTAATGGTGAATGTAGTCTGACGCCATGACCAATATTTATCAATTAAGTTTCAGTGGGGGGGTAGGGGGGTTTGGAAAAAAAACTAAAGGAATTAAGTTTTTTATCTGACATCGATCTTTTGACATCGTC